TTATTATTTCAGTTTGGTACTTGATTGAACTCTTCATCGTACGTTAACATTTTGCGCGGCATTATTTGTCTTTGTGGTCTACGTTCCGGAATCGGAGCAGGTCCAGTAACGATTGGTGTCGCGTTTGTTATATTTTGTTCTTCGTCTTGTGCCGGAATTGTGGTGAGCTGTTGTGGTGTTTGCGTATGCGTGTGTGTTACGGGTCCAGGGTCGCCGTAGTCGTACTTCATTTGGTCTTCCCAAGTTGGTTTAATAGAGGCGATTTTATGAATCTGATTGATATGTCGTTTCCAAATGCGACCGTCGTCTAGTTTAACGTTATAATGCAACTTCCCCAGCACTTCAATGACAATGCCAAACTGATATTTTTCTGTGCTTGTATAATCTCGAACTGACACTTGGTCATCTACTTGTAGTCTACGTAGCTTTGAATTCATTTCGCATTTCGGAATTTCTGGTAAAAGCGTTGTTGGTAGCATTATGTCTAAACGAGAACGAATTTGGCGATTGAACATTAACGACGCTGGTGATTCGCCCGTTGTTGCGTGTGGAGTTCGACGATAATTTAGTAGAATGTTGCATACTACTTTATCGATGTCGGAATGATTGCAACTTACTGTCTTCAATTTGTTTTTTAATGTCTGGACATTCCGTTCCACTTGCCCGTTCGTGGAGGGATGATACGGTGCACTTCGTTTGTGTATTATGCCATTCTTTTCCATGAAGAGACGAAATTCTTCGGATGTAAATTGCGATCCGTTATCGCTTACTAAAACTTCAGGAATTCCAAATCTTGAAAATATTTCGCGGCATTTATCAATAGTTATAGCCGTAGTAATGTTTGGTATAGTATAAACTTCTGGCCACTTAGTATACGCGTCAATTAGGAGAAAGAAGTATTTCCCCATGACAGGTCCAGCAAAATCCACATGTACACGTTGAAACGGAAATTTGGCCGCCTCCCACACATGTGAAGTAATTTTCACTGGGTTTGCTCGAGTACGTTGACATTGCGAACAATTTCTTGCAATGCCTTCAATGTCTGCGTCTATTTTCGGCCACCATCAGCAGCTTCGTGCTAATGCTTTCATACGAGTAATGCCGAAATGTGCTATGTGTAGTTCATCTAGAACTTGGCTTCGTAACTCTCCGGGTACGTATACGCGTAATCCTCGCAACAAACAGTCGTGTTGAATTGTAAACTCTGTTTGATCTATGTTGAAGCGTTGTTCAGGTTTTACGGTGTAGCCTTTCATCAGTCCATTCTTTAATTCTTGAATTGTCTTGTCCTTCATTGTCGCTTCTCGTAGTTTTTCTACCGATAATGGTAGTGTTTCGATCGCATTTATCTCGATTATTTCGATTTCTTCTTTTTTCTTATTGATTTCCGCTAACGGTAGTCGAGAAAGTGCATCCGCATTTGAATGCTCAGATGATTTGCGATATTGAATGTCGTAGTCGAATGACTGCATGAAGATGGCGTAATGCTGCATTCGCGTAGCGGACAGTGTCGGTAACCCCTTTTTTGGTGATAGAATTTGTGCAAGTGGTTTATTATCCGTTATAAGGATGAATTTCCGAGCGTAAACGTATTGGTAGAACTTTCGGATGCCAAAGATAATCGCGTACGCCTCACGATCGATCTGCGTGTACCGTCGTTGGACCGGTGATAGAGTTTGCGATGCAAACTGTATTGGTTTCTCGCTTCCATCGGGGTAAATGTGGCTTAATACAGCCCCAACACCTACTGGGCTTGCGTCCGTAGCAAGCACTAATGGTAGTTTCGGATCGTAGTGCGCGAGATGCATCTTTGTTTGTATTTGCTTTTTCACTTCGTTAAAAGCCCTCTTGCAATCACTGTCCCAAATAAATTTCACATCATCTTTGAGTAGATTGTTCAGCGGGTATAAAGTTGTACTCAAGTTTGCCAGGAATCGGCCATAATAGTTGACCAACCCTATGAATGCACGGACTTGCTCTTTATTAGCTGGATGTGGCATTTGTGTAATTGCGTATATTTTCGCTTGTACTTTGTGTATACCAAAACGGTCGATTTTGTATCCGCAATATTCAATTTCGTTTGCCATAAATATGCATTTCTCAAAATTTACACGCATATTGTATTTGTTGAGACGAGACAAAACGAGTTCCAGGCGCTGTAAGTGTATCTCATCGTTTGGTGCAGTGATTTTTATGTCATCCAAGAATACCGACACCCCGTCTATATCCTTCAGAATTTGCTCGATTTCTCGCTGCCATTTCGCTGGTCCTGACGAAATGCCATACATTAGCCTTGTCGGTTGATATAACCCGCGATGTGTACTGAGCGTTAAAATTTCCCGATCATCCGGGTGAACTTCTAATTGTAAATAGGCTTTGGTGAGGTCAATCTTTGAAAACTTTTGTCCGCCAGCCATGGAAGCAAAAAGCTCTTCAATTGTTGGAAGTGGATGCTCCTCAACAACTATGCGCGGATTCACTGTAATTTTGTAATCGCCGCACAATCTCACTTTGTTGCCTTGCTTCTTAACTGGTACGATGGGTGTAGCCCATTTGGCTGAATCGATTTTCTTTATGATGCCATTCCTTTCCAAATCTTCGAGCTCCTTTTCCACCGCGTCACGTAATGCAAACGGTAGCTTTCTTGCTTTAATAAAGATCGGTTCCACATTCGCCTGTAGACGGATACGTGCCTGTACGTTTTCAATTTTACCCATCGATTTTTCAAATACTTTGGAGTATTTTCGTTTCAAATAATCTATCCTCCCCGATACTTGATGCTTATGGAGTGATGAAACGACTTGCGCATTGTAGTCCGCGTTAAAAATCTGGTTCCAATCCAGCTTCAACTTACGTAACCATTCCCGTCCCAGAAGTGGTTTTCTATTTGACTCCACTACATATATTTTCATATCTGGACTTACCGTAGTGCTCATATTTACGCAAGCATTGAAATAACCCAACACGTTAATCTCCGAACCACAATAGCTGACCAGTTTCATGTCCGTCGGGAACAATTGCTGTGTAGGAAAATATTTGTTCTTATCTGTTTTGCTAATAATCGTTACTGGAGAGCCGCTGTCGATTTCGAAACCTAGAAGGATATGATTTACTTTTAGTTGTGTATAAATTTTTGAGTTCTTATTGTGATTAATCTTAATGTAATTAAAATTATCTGTATTTATGTTGAACAATTCCTCAACCGCATTAGTATGATCTTCGCAGTCAATGTAGTTTGTCTGCTTTTTTTTCCTTCTTCGCTTTAAAACAGACCGATGATAGATGACCCTTCACGTTGCAGAACGAGCACGTCGAATTTTGGTGTGGGCATTTGTTAGCGCGATGTTCACTTTTGCCACATCGAAAACAGAACCCGCTCCTTTTCATCTCGTCAACTTTAGTCTTGTTTGCTTTTGAATTTGCTGAATTCATGATCGTTATCTTTTTGCCTTTCTTATTCTTTTGCTGAATGTAATTTATTGGCGATTTGACGTCTTTTTGCTGCTGAATTTCCGCACCGCCTTTTGCCGATAGCTCCATCGCTTTTGCCGTAGTTAACGCTGCATCCATTTTTAAATCCTTTGTCTCCAGCAATCGATTCTGGATCCGTGTGCTGCGCAGACCGAATACGAATTGGTTTCGCAATGCAGTTTCCAAATATGTGCCGAAGTTGCAATTTATTGCCAACTTCCGTAACGCTATCGAAAACTCTTCTACTGACTCACTCTCATTTTGTTTGCGTAGGTGGAATCGGTAGTTTTCCATTATCTCTAATGGTGCTGGATCGTAAACGTCAGAGATGATTCTTTTTATTTCCGCGTAAGTTTTTTCCGCTGGTGTTGCTGGGGCTAATTTGTCATACAGCATGTCGTATGTTTCTTGCCCCATGTAAATAAGCAGCAATGATTTGTTTTTCTCGGAGACTTCAAGCATCGTTACAGTCTCCTCAAAACGTGCCACCCAACGAGACCATTGCATTGTTGCCTTGTCGAATTTCTCGAAAACGGCGTAGTTGGTCATCTTTTTCCTTCAATTGAAATTTGTAGTGTACTTTGTTTTACAATGTATATTCGTGATTACTTCACGTTATTGTGGTTTAAAACAAAACGATGACCGCGAAATTTGTGGATTTTTTTTCTCCTCGTCGCCACTTATTGTGTTTTTGGTAAAAACACGTTTTATATCTCTTTTCTTTCTTTTCTCGATTCAGCAGAACTTATGATTATGTGTATGTATATCTACATGGGTGCGTTCCCTTCCATAGTAATCGTACATGAGTGCGTTTACCAAAGTAGTAATTAGTATAGGAGCATGTTCACATACAAAGTATATAACAGTGCGTATTCACGCACAACGTATATGACAGTTTTCCCCTCTCAATTTGAATTGCCTTCTAATGGTATAACGATACTTTGTACATATTGCTTAAATATACATGTTTATCTATATGGATATTTACTGGGCGAATTCAAATTTTACGGGAAGCTAATCTCTACTCTTTTACATAGT